AACCAGAGTAATTGTGGAGGCCGTCCTCGAGAACAGACAGCACCGCAGTTGTCCCAGTCCAAGCCCTCGCGGTGACCCTGACTTGGCTTTTCCACCTCCCAGGCCACACCCTTTCCCCCAGCTGCGCTAGAGCTGCGCGAGCATGGTTCATGGCTCTCACCTGTGGCTTCCTTGGCATTGAGTCCAAAAAAGACCCCTGCTGCTGTGCTGCAGTTTGTGCCCCCAATTGGAACCTATCTCTTTAGTAATACGCTTTAGTTGTGTGGGATGTTATACGTGCTTACTCCGTGGCATTAGAAAACACTAGTTTGATGCTAAACATCACATCCATTTAAGGGAGGAACACTAGAATGTCTTTACGGATATAGAGCTTATAATGAAATATAGAAGCGTGGTTGCTTGAAAAACAGTCTTTGTTGGCTGAACTTTTCGCCTCAACTGCCGTATGGTGGCTTGGCTTTATAATTCAGCATTGGTGGTTCAGTGGTAGAATTCTCACCTGCCACGAGGGAGACCCGGGTCCGATTCCCGGCCAATGCAATAGACAGTTCTTTGTTGTCTGAAAATAAAGTACAATGCCTAAACCACTTGGACTCTGCTCCAGCAAACACACAGGTCTTTGGAGTGTACAAGTAAAGAGGGATGTTCTCCGTGCCGACTCCTATTGATTTGAGAACTCAGTAAGATGCTTGACATCAAATCACTGTAAGGGATGACCAGTGGACTGTATCCCTTCTTAAATGACTTAGAGCATATAGCATATCTGTTGAAAAATCCACCTTGTTGACCGTGCTGTTGACCTCGCCAGCGTAGTGGTAGTTACGATGTCTTGTGAATGTGGGCGAATGAGTGGTAGAATCTTTGTAAGCTAAGAGGAAAACTAGGTTCCCATTCTCTGCAAATGCAACATAGCTTCACTGTTGTTTGGAATCTGTACTTGCACACAATTAGAGAGTAAAGCTATTGGGTGACTCTAGGCATTGAGTCCAAAAAAGACCCCTGCTGCTGTGCTGCAGTTTGTGCCCCCGATTGGACAAAAACACAAAATACTGTATAAAACAAGACAAGCAACCTCACTTTTACTTAACTGGAAGTTCTGAGTACTGCTTCCACCTCTGCTTGTTAGGAATCGGGATTTAATTTAGAAAAATCATTACAAATTGGCAAAGAGGAACGCTTCACGAATTTGCGTGTCATCCTTGCGCTACCGGTGAGATGTTCTTCTCTGTTCCAATGTTCCAATTTCTGACCAATGGCTGTCCAGGCTTGTTCCATAACTCGCCCAATAGGGAGGCCGGATATGTTCCATAAGAGAGAATCAAACTTTTGGGGCTTTTGGCGTCCAATCGGTGAGGCGGATTTGTTCCATAATTCTCAGCAATCTCTCCTCCGTCCGCCATTGTTTTTTCACACTGACTGACTTCAACAAAGCGACACTGTGAGTAAAATGTGCATTAATTATTAGCAAATACGGGTGTAAACACTGTTACAAACGCACTTCTATGTCCGAGATTAGTCATACTGAGTTAACCGTGGTGTTTGTGCGGTACTTTGTGAACCGCTGATGCACTGCTGTGTGTGTTTACCTTTAGCTAGCGGCTAAGCTAGCGGGACGCTACGGAGCCCAGCTATCCGCCCTCTGAAGCTTTTAGGGCCGACAGGGGGAGGACAGTGTCCCGCTAACGCTGTGTGTGTGTGTTTCACATTAGCGGGATGCTACGGAGCTCAGGTATCCGCACTCTGAAGCTTTTAGGGACGACAGGGGGAGGACAATACAACGCTGTGTGTATTTATCGCTAAGCTAGCGGCTAAGCTAGCTGGACGCTACGGTTCAGGTATCCGTCCTCTGAGGCATTTATGGCGGACAGGTTGAGGAGGATGTCCCGCTCCTGTGTGTGTGTAACGGAGCTCAGATGAGAGGGCTCTGATTACAGTTTTAATCCTCTGTTAATCCGCATGTTTTCTGCCATATTTGATGAGAGATAAAATGATTTTCTGCCACAGGAGTTTGACAGAGAATAACTGAAAAAGTACACAGTAAAATAACTCATGGCCACTGAGTACCTGGAGTGCTGATGAACACAGATTCTGTGTTCAATAGAGAGTGCATTAATAATAATAATAATAATAATATGTATTCAAGACTCTTTGCTCACAGCAGCATTTCTCTCCTCCTCCCTCCTTCCTTTTCTCCTCAGGAGGAGATGCAGGGTCCTGATGGCCAGCCAGGATACCAGCATGTCCTGAAGCTGGCCAAGGCCCTGCTGGAAGCCAGGAGCCTTCAGGGGCTTTCTGACAAGAGGGTGGACGAACTCATGGCCCTCTGGCAACGCCTGCACGAGCCGGACAGGCGACGAGTCGTCTACCCTCCCAGACACCGGGAGAGGCAGCTGAAGGGGCGGTTCAAGACAGCGAAGGGGAAGAACACCTCCTGTCCTGGGAAGGAGAGTCTCCAACGGTAAGACTTGCTTCAAATATTCCTGTTTCCTGTACTAAATATTGGCTGCGTATTAACCCTCACTGTCCTCTCCGTGACTCAGCTGTCTTCTCGGGTTTGTCTTACAGGTTCTCTCGGCAGTACAGGTGGGACAAGGACAGCCCTTCAATTACAACATCCCGGAGGTGCCGGGACCTTCAGGGGTGGGTCTGCCTGCCTCATCTGGCCACATCCCCCCTCCTCCTCCCCCTCCTCAGACACTGCTCCCGGATGTCCCTCTCATGGCTGCCTCTGCTGCTCAGCCTCCTCCTCTTCGTGTGCCCAGGACAACAGCCTACAGGAAGAGGAAGGCGGCGGAGGCTGATGCTGCAAGGGGTGGGCCGCAGCCCGGGAGCAGACAGGTCAGTACACCTGCAGCAAGTGTGGCCAGGCCAAGAGGATCAACACTGACCACACTCGCATTGCAGGTGTGTCTTACTGTGCGGCTGCCGGTGGGAAAACTGGCGGGAGGAGATGAAAAGACTCAAAAGGGACCCAGAGGGTGGGGGGGAATGATAGCACTTTTTTCTTTAATTCTCTTTTATCTTTATTTATTTGAATCTCTATTTTAAAATAAAACTCTGAACTGAACTTTGTGTGGAAACTTTATTTAGAATTCATTACACAACGTCTGATATTTCACTGCAACACGGGTCCATAAAACACAACATGGTGCATAAATAAGCACAGTAGAGATGATGAGATGGTATACCGTACTCTTTGTAGTTTATTACAATCATCATCATTTACCAAAACCCCCTGTTTCAGAGTCACTATGTGTCAGTCAGTGATGGCTCTCATGGCTGCTCCTCCTCCTCCTCGAACTCAGATCCAGAGAGCAGTTTACAACCAAAGACTGAGGACGACACTGGAGACTCTTCTGAACCTGACGCTGAACACAGTGCTGATTGGAAGGAGACCAGAGAACCTGCCTCAGGCTCAAAGTCACTGAAAAATAGACAAGAATCTGTCAGTGATCCACGACGTAGTGCTGAAAAGAAACCACTCAGCTGCTCAATCTTAGAAAGCTTTTAGACATAGAAGAGATCTAGATCCACACAGGAGAGAAACCCTTTGGCTGCTCAGTCTGTGAGAAATTTGTGAATTTTTCACAGAATATACATTTATATATTTATACTTTATACCCTTTAATTTAAACCCCCTGTTTTAGAGTCACTATGTGTCAGTCAGTGCTGGCTGTCATCATCTCTTCAGCTCTTCCTCATGTCTGCCACAGCTGGGGATCGAACCGCGGACCTTCCGCTCCCCACATTTTTTTTTTTTTTTTCACTTTTTGAGCCCCCTTTCCTCTCCTTGCCCCCCTGCTTCGTAGAGAAGAATGGGCAGTATCCTCAGTATCCAGGGGGCGAGGATAATCGGGGCTGCTCAGTCCCACTTTAGCCCCGCCCCTCCCGTTCATTTCTTATGGCATTCTCACTTTAATCTTGTGTCCACCCATTGGTTGTCCCACTGACGTTTCATTGAAACGGGGAGGAGCGGGGAGGAGTTTTCACTGAAAGTTTCCAGGCATCATTTACAACTGAGCGGTTTTTGAAAAGGTAAGATACCCTCCGCTAGACAGTCCGTTATAATGTAATATAACGGTAACAGATGAATGGGAATGTATTTTGTTGTCCTCTGCTATTACAGTAGATGAATGCCAATGTGTTGTCTTTTAACGTTCGCGCATATTCGCATTGGTAAAAAGTTTCCGCAAAACCGAGGCTTTACGCCGGCAACACACCGGAGCTTTCTGGCCGTTGAAATCCGTAAATACTTGTCATTTAATGCTTATTACTATGTGCTAACGTTTATGAAGTTAACATTTATATGCACCATTCGTGATTAAAAGCTGCCACTCCGCCATGTACAGTCTTAGAACTGCGGCAACAACATGCATTGCTCCCGCACTTTGCTTGATGCAAACACGTAACGCTTTTTACTTTGCACTAACGTATATGTTCATAAAGTTAATGCTTACATCCGTTCACAGATGTGGACGGAGGGTTAACAGTCATAGACACTTGGCTATTTAATGAAGTACTGTAATAACTAAAGTTAACATTTATATGAAGGCCATCATTCATTTAAAGTCAGACCTCTGAGGTTACTGTTGAGCTGATGGAAAAGTGTTGTCTAACATTATTACATGATAGCACTAAGATAGCATTCTCTTTTCAATCAGAACCAGCTTTTACTCATGTTATTTTTCTTATTTCTATTCAGACTGTTCTTCCTGTGTACTATCTGTGTTTCTCTCCTGCTGCAACACCTGAATTCAAAGGTCCATCTCATCCAAAGAGAGGCTTTGTTTGTATGCTAGCTAGGTTAAAGGTTCAAGGTGTTTGCTGTACTTCACATGTACTTGTGAAGTACTTGCCTGCTAGCTTCTGACGTGTGTTTGATGTGACATGTACTTGTGAAGTACTTGCCTGCTAGCTTCTGACGTGTGTTTGATGTGACATGTACTTGTGAAGTACTTGCCTGCTAGCTTCTGACGTGTGTTTGATGTGATTTCAGAACAATGGATCACAAACCGTCCTTCGCGTTCCAGGCTGGTACATCAGACCTGCAGCTGATGGCCAGCACAGAAGCTGGCAAAGTCTCGAAACACAATCTGAAGAGGGCAGCCCCGCGCCTCACCTCCGACACCAGGGAGGTGGCTGAGGCACAAGCTGTGTCAAGGGTCACAGCGCTGGGGGGCAACCCGGTGGACCGCTGGCAGCTCCTCAGCCAGACCGAGCTCCAGTTTGGTCAGTACCGGGGCCAGACTCTCCAGTGGTTGCTGTCAAATGACGTGGGCTACACGGCAACCATTCTGGCAGGCCATCAGGGAGAGCGTGAGGGGGGGGATGTCAGCAGCACCCCCCTCATGTGGAACAAAGATGCTCTGCTGGAGTACGCCAGCCTCTTCGCCCTAGTGATGGCAGCCGTGAGCAGGAAGAGAGCACCGCGCACGGCTGCAGAGCACGAGCAGCTGGTGGGCTTTGGGACTTGGTCAGCCATGACGTACAGGGACCTGTACGACACTGCGGAGAGGGAGCCAAGCACGTAAGGCCATGTGTGACTTTCATCACTAGCTGTAGAAACACTTGATGTGATATCAATCTAACTGTTGCCTCTCAATCTCAATGTCAGGTACAGGAAGTGGCTCAGGAGTCAGCCCGTCAGGAGGCCCGGGTCCGAACTGGGGCAGCTGAAGGACTACATAGACAGAAGGGACAAGGAGAAGCAGTCTGTCGCCTCCTCAGCTGCATCAGCAGCCGCCACCTCCTCAGCTGTCTCCCCCTCCACTACATCTCCCCCCAAACAGCGGAGGAAGAGAAAGCCAGTGGTCCTGTGTATGTATCATGTCAGTGGAGTGTTACTGTCAGTCAGGTGATGTGTGATGAGTGAACATTTTTTAAATTGTGTCTGCAGCTTCCTCAGAGGACGAAGACGACCATCTGATGGTGGAGGCTGCGGCTCAGGTGGAGGCTGCTTTAGGTAAGTCTGTGCTTCGAGTCATTATTAAGCTTTGTATAATCAAATCTATTTGGTATGTCAAGTGTGTTTTTCTGCTGTGCACAGCATCTGCTCCTCCTCCTCCTCCTCCTCCTCCTCCGCCGCCTCCTCGTCCTGCCCAGCAGCAGAGAGCTCTGGCACCCTCAGGTCTGTAATAATGTTGTTGTAAACATCTAGTATCAGTGTGTAGTGTGAAGCTGCAGCTCAGTGACCTGTGTGTGTGTTGCAGCTGCTCCTGCCGGCAGCCTCCCTGCAGAGCAGCACGAGTGGGTCAGCAGGGCTCTGTTTGTGGGCTACAAGTCAGGGTGGCCCGTCCTGTCCACGGACTATCAGCTGTGGCACCACCCCCCCGGCCCCCGGCTGAAGTACCACCAGCGGCCCTCCTCCCCAGATGCTTTCTTCCAGCGGCCCTTCTTCTTCTGGGCGCCGAACAAAATGTGGCAGTACCACCTGAAGTGCCCAAGCTGCGCACACAAGATGGTCTCCACCAAGAAGGTGAGAAATGTAATGTTACTTATGTACACTGTAGGTGTCATGGCTGCACCCTGACTGATGGAGGAGACCCTCTTCTCCCCTGCAGGTTGTGGAGGAACGTCTTAAGAGAAACTGATAAATGATTCAAGACTAACAATACAATGTAACAGTGTAAAAGGCAATCAGAGTATAAGACTATATGTTTTTTTTTTATGATTATATGATCATTTGACACAGGTGACCAAGAAGCTGGCGGGAGCAGACGCTGGTACCGCTCTGTGGATGAGCAGCGTGGGGAACGAGCTGGGGCAGGTCCTGATGTCCGTGCTGACGGCCGCTGAGGGCTACGGCCTGAGAGACATGGCGCGGGGCCTGCAGGACCGGTACCAGCTGGCAGGGAAGGAGCCTCCACAGGTCCTGTATGTGGACAGGGACTGCTGCCGGAGGGACGGAGGCACCTGCGCTGCAGCTGCTCTCTTCCCCGCCTGGCCACGCCTGGCTGTCAGGCTGGACATCTGGCACTTTATACGCCGACTGGCAGTAGGCGTGACCTCCGAGAGCCACCTCCTCTACCCCGAGTTCATGCGGCGTCTCTCCAGCTGCATCTTCGAGTGGGACCCGGAGGACCTGTCCCTCTTGGAGACGGCCCTGCAGGCGGACGGGTTCAGAAGGACGCCGTCCAGCAAGGAGTTGGGTCGGCACTGCCGCCGCCGCACGCGTGGGGCTCAGGAGACCGAGCGTCTCCTTGGAGAGGCGGTGGAGGCGTTCAAGGGGGCCACCGATGCCATGAACGTCCCCCTGCTGCACCGACGCCGCATGGAGGAGATCCTGGAGACACAGAGGCATCACATCCCCTGCATTCAGGTACAGCTCTTACAGGAAACAATTCAACATGTTTCATGTTCAGACATGAATTCAGACACTGAATAATCAGAGCCTCTCCCCTTCAGGATCCTGCTGGTCTCTGCCTGTACACCAAGACGGGACAGCTGACCCGGGAGGGGGTGTCTCTGCCCGTCTACCGCTGTGCCCGCGGCTCCACGTCCCTGGAATCCTTCCACCTGCACCTCCACAGGTTCATCCCGGGTGAGGCACCGTGCTCTAAGAGTTTTACACTTTCTCTCTCTCCCTGGGTGTAAAACCCTGACGTTTGTGTGTCATGTTGCAGGCTCCTCTGCGAGGGGGACTTTCCTCCAAATGTTCCTGTTGGAGGGGCTCACGAGGTGGAACGAGGACCGGGGAAAGGCGGCAGCGGGGGGGGGCCGGCATCAACTGCTACAGCGGCCAGCAGCAGTACACTCTCCACCAGCTCACGCAGCACTTCTTCCACACCACGCTGGTGGAGAGCCACGTGAAGCCGCTGCAGTACACAGGTGATACTTCAGACTCAGAGCCGATGCTTCTGGAAGGTTTCTGTTTGAGAACATTGAAGAACAAGGTGAAGAACAACTGTGATATTAAGAATCTAGTTACTCTTTTCTTCCTCAGGTGAGCTCATCGGGATCAGCTACCTGTACAATCAGACGGGAAAGGTTCTGCAGCCCCTCCCTGATGATCCCGATGTGCCCGATGACAGCGAGGAGGTGACTGTTGAAGAGGAGGAGGAGGAGGAGGAGGAGGAGGAGGAGGAGGAGGAGGAGGAGGAGGGATATGACAGAGAGGATTTCTTTCATCTTCCTGCTCCACGGCAGGGTGGAGGATGAAGATAAATAAAATACATAAATACATAAAGTGTAAAACTTTATAACATAACATAACATAAAATACATAAATACATAAAGTGTAAAACTTGTAAAACTTGTAAATAAATAAAAAGGTATTTTTAAACTTGAATATCTCTGACTGCTTATTTCTTTCTTTTCACAACTTCATAACATCTCTTTGTCATATCAAGCATGCAGCCAGCAGGGGGTGTCAAAGAGCATTTGGGGTGGGGGGGATCTGGGCGGTTGGTACACTGGACACTGGCTTTAATTGATCCGAGGGGCTCTGATCCGATTGGACGACGGGCTCCGGACCCCCAGGTGAGAGTTTCTCATCCTAGAAGATCAGATCCACAGGGGTCTTGCCAATATAATCGAAGGGGAATCTCCCCACTCACTAACATGGTACAACAAAAAGGTGGGGGCTTCGCGCATACAGTTTTGCATCAAAGCGAACCTATACTGTAGCTCTGACATCTGGAAACGGAAAAGGAGGTTTATTGCTCATGGATTATCAGAAATCATTTCAAAGGGACACAGACACATTGGATTAACCTATGGATTAACTTCAGCAGCGTTTTTATCGTTTTAATGCCATTGAAGACCACTTTTGACCAGACAAAGACACAGGTGAGCCATGTTAGCGTTTTTAGCTACCTAGCGCCACATGTTTTCATGTCTGTTTTTGTTTATAAAGTCGCGAGTTTGTATCATGGAGTGATAATGTATGCACCCATCGATTCTGTGTCACCTCACGATGTGAAACGATGTCAGTGATGTGCAGAAAAGATAAATAATAAGGTTTTGTGAGTGAATTTCGGTGCAGTAATCTGTTCGCATTTTTCGCTCGTTGCTAATTCAGAGGCTCAGCGTTAGCATTGTGGGTTTTATTTTGAAAAAAAAATTAAAACGATCAGTTAGATGAGTTTCTTCCCGTTACATGGATATAAAACATTCATAGTTTATTAAATGAACATGCCCTCAGACACCTGCAAGATGTTGCGGGAGGGCGTCGGTACCGGGGTCTCTCGGGCTTAACAGGTTAACCCTTGTGTTGTGTTCGAAAGCTGTTACCGTTCATGGTGTTCGCGTGTCAATTTTGACCCATGATTTATCTCAGTCCAAAACACTCAAAAATAATGACTATCATCCAATATTGTTTTAACTACATCATAACTAACTTATTATGCATTCGTAACCGTACAATCCTGTTGTAATTTTATTTTATGGCCCCCAAAAACCTTACACCACATATTTAAGTAAAGCAAAGTCCTTTGAGAATGAGCTTAACTGCCTGGTTAGAAAATAAACTAGGAAAACTGGGATCATAGCATCGAACGTTGAACTGAACCCCGGCTACCAAACCCGGAATGTATTGGGGTTTAAGGTGACGGTCAGTGAAGCAGTAGCTCATGAAGGCGCACACAGTGTGGATGAGAACGGGTTTGAGGGGGATGCCTAACGAAAAGCAAAACATGGCGAATGTTCTCCAGGCAAAATCATACGTTTTGAGAGTGGAAGCGGCTAAGCCCTTCCTCATGAGAAACCTGGCGGACTCGAGGTGCCTAACTAAGGGGCTTGTGTTTAGAAGAGGAAGAGGAGATGAAGAGGGGGAATCCCGACTGGTTGCAGCCTGGCTTCTGGGCAGAGGTTCCGGAATGTCTGAAAGTGAAAGCGAGAGAGGGAGTCAGCGATTACGTTGAGGTGGCCGGGAACATGACGGGCTGAGATAATGAAGTTGTGGGTGATGGAGGACCACGTGATGCTTCTCATGAATGGCATAATGTCAGGGCATGGAGAGCGCGCTTTGTTAATGATCCCGACCACTGCTTGGTTATCGCATAGCACTGAAATGCGTTTCCGGAGCCAGAGGTGGCCCCACACATAGCAAGCTACTGCAATTGGGTAGATCTCGTGCAGGGCAGAGGATGTGGCATGATTAGGGAAGGAGAGGGGCCAGGGACCTGCAAACCACTCTCCCTGAAAGAAACCCCCAAAACCAGCGGATGGGGCGGCATCCGTGAAAAGCCTCATTGAGTCTGAGGAGTGCACTATGTCGTTGTAGAAAAAAGTGACACCGTTCCATTGGTCGAGCAGGAGGGACCAGAAGCGTAGGTCTGAGCGGCATCCTTCGTCTAAGGGAACATGATCGTGGAGGTTTTTAACAGCTGATGCTGCGTCCAGGAGGCGGGAGATGAATGAGCGTCCCTGTGGGATGACACGCATGGCGAAATGAAGGTGCCCGAGGAGGGAGAGCAGCTGCTGTTTAGTAATGATGTGTTGTGCACAGTAGGACTTAGTGATGTCGCGTATGCGCTGCAGTTTGTCATTAGGGAGAGACGCTTTCATCTCTATGGAGTTGAGAGTGATGCCCAGAAACTCCAAACTTGTGTCGGGGCCTATGGTTTTCTCCTTGGATAGGGGGATGCCTAGCTCTTGGAAACAGAGTTTCAGTTTAAGCAGTGAAGCGCCTGAGTTGTCCCATGGGGGATCTATGAGGAGAAAATCATCCAGCAGGTGAAGAACGGATGGGATTCTGACAACGTTCAGCAGGATCCAACAAAGAGCCTCGGAGAAGGAATTGAAAATGCATGGGCTACTTCTGCACCCGAAAGTGAGGCGGACGGCGAAGTAGAGCTTGGACTCCCACCTGATGCCGAACATGTTCCACTGGGACGGATGAATGGGAATGATTTTGAAGGCATCGGTGATGTCTGCTTTGGAGAGCCAGGCTCCTTGGCCGGCGAATTTAATTAACTTAATAGCGTTGTCGACCGAGGCGTAGTGAAGGGAGAATGGCTCTGATGGGATGAGGCTATTGACGCTGGAAAAGGGGCCTGAGCGGGGTGCCGACAGATCATAAATTAGCCTTTTTTTCTCTGAGTATTCGCGAGTGGCTACTCCTATTGGGCTGGTGCGAAACACTGAGAATGGAGATGAGTGAAAAGGGCCGATGATATACCCTTTGCTGAGTTCATTCTCTATGAGCTGAGAAACAACTGCGGGTTCTTTGATGGCAGACTGCAGGTTTTTCGCAACGAAGGTCACAGTGGGGGAAGAGAGGACCCCTACCCTTAAGCCTTGGGAAAGCCCTGAGAGGAGATAGTCAACGAACACGGGATCTGGGTGAGTAGATAGGACGGCTGCTAAGTGTGTTATGTTAATTGGAGTGGAGGGGTGAATGTTCAGAAGGTTTTCCCGCCAAGAGGTTTCTGAAGCAGGGCAGGGATCTTGGGACGGCCGCCGCGCCTGGGGCACACAGACCTCGGGTGCGAGTCCTTGCAGAAACTGCAGATGTGGAGAAAAGTACAGGCTGAGTAAGTGCAGACATTTTCATTGAAATTATTGCAGATCTGCATCTCACGCCAGCACTGCACCTGACGGCCTTGTCTGTCGTTTGGGGCTTGGAACGCAGAAGGGGCTTTGAAGGCAGAGAGAGGCACTGAAGGGTAGAAAGGGGAGAGGTGGCCCGGGGTCCCGCAGCTGTTGCATGAGATGACTTGGTGGCCGCCTGTAGTCATCACGAGCAGCTCGGTGTCCAGCATGGACCAGTCCAGACGAATGTTTGAGTGAGCTATGTGAAGGGCGGCTTTGCTTGAAAAGCTCTTGTGATAAGCGTAGAACACACTTTTCCCGTATTTGAGATGAAGATCGCCGATCAGACCCAGATAAGCGTCTAGTTCATGCCTCCTTCCCGGGTAGACTGAGCATATTACTTCACGATATATGCCGAATGCAACCGGGAACTGGCCTATGGAAAGGTCTCTGTTGAGACGGGGGTCTGATGTTTTGAAAACTGTTGTGATGTTTCCCCCGGTGGCGATGGATTTGTCACACTCGGGGGAAGGTAGGATAAGGCTGACCAGGTTAATATCTTGCCCTTGAAGTATTTTTGCCCTGAGCCGGTGGGAAATATCAGCAGCTTGGGGGATGTAAGGCCTACCTGAAGGAGGGGGTGGGATGGCAGAAGCCAGAGAATGAGGGGAGACATCGGTGTGTGGGACTGAAAGGGCCTGACACGGCGTGAGCACTGGCTGCGCCATGGCAGAAAGTACGGCCCTGGTGGTTGCTGAAGTGGAGGCTTCGGCTGAAACCCTTTCCAGGGACTGGAGGCGAGTGTCGATTCTCTGCATGGAATCGGCCAGGGATTGCAGGGTGTTGGCCATGTAGGGCTGGTTGAAGGTGCTTACGGGCTGGTCAGCGATGGGGCGAGGCTGGGAAGGAGTTGTCTTCTTTGAGGGAGGAGCTGCTGGAGGGCTCGACTTCCTTGTTCTTTTACCCCCGCGCCCGCGCCCGCGCGCGCGCGCGCCCTGGTCTGTCAGAGAGGCCGGCTGGAGCTGCTGGCATGGGCTGGGGAGCGACGAGTGGGACTTGGTCCGAGAGCTCACGAAGCTGGGAGAGAGGGAGACCTGGTGCTGGTACGATGCCCTGCTGCTGAAGTTGAGAGGTGAGGAGCTCTGCCTCTGCTGTCCGTGAGGCTGCGCCGCTGCGGGCAAGCAAGTGAATGCTCGTGCGCCGGTAGCTTGAGGAAGTAGAAGCTGTGTCAGCCAGCATGTCGGGGCCAGGATCGGGATCCTCCTGAAAGGGATCGTTCTCAGAGAAGTCCGAACTGGACATGTTGAGTTTTACTTTTTAGAAGCGCTTTACTTAGAAGGTTTGTTGCGACTACCAACTACGTAGAGTCACCTGAAATGACAGCTGTCAGAGGGGGAAGAGCAGACTTAAAAGGTTTGACAGAGCGCTATGATAGGCTCTTGGGAATAGAGCGAAGTGATTGGTTAAGCTGAAGAGTGACGCCCCCGGTCACTTATTGAGAGGAGAGAGAGTAGTAACATGGGAATAGAAATACGTGAATGAGTAAAGGCGGTCTTCCTGGTTGAACTTGCGCTGAGCTT